TGATGGGCTGCTCTAAACAGGAGTTAACCCTTTGGGTAAATCTCTATGCCTTTGTCCTGCCTCTTGCATCTGCCCTTGCAGAAGAGGAAAATGATGGGGCTCCCTAGGGAAGCAGTCCCAGAATCCTGGGCAGCTGGGTGGCGTTCCTGCTGATCTGGGTTTGAAGGGTGAGCCTCAGGATGGAGTGACTGCTTTCCTTGTGTCCAAGGCTGCCATGCACTGGGACCTGAGCTTTTGCTATGAAAAGCACATTAGGGCCTGTGGTATTGGAAGAGTGCTTCAGAACCCAGCCCTTCTATGTATGCCCTTGGATACCCCATGGGCAGCCTCACGCCCCTCGGAGAGAGGCTGATGTCTCTCCCCTTTGCTTCTCTCCTCAGAAACATGCTTGCATGCTGATCCGCAACCTGGTCTCCCGGAGCCAGGACTTCTCTCAGCCCATCCTGGAGATGGGCGCAGAGAGCCTGATCGCAGAGGCTCTTGCAGCACACCAGGACTGTGGTGATGTGGCCAAAGCTGCCTTGAGGGACCTTGGCTGCAAAGTGGAGCTTCGGGAGCTGTGGACAGGCCAGAAGGGAAGTCTGGCTCAGTAAGCCACTTTCCCAAGGAACCCTGGTGGTTCTGGGCATCTATGTAGGCACAGCCTGCCGGGCAAAGTGGCTTGGAACAAACTGCATTGGCCTCCTTGAGCCGCTGAAGAAACCTCTTGGCCTGTGAGGCTGTAGTGAGCTGGTACAGGAGATACCTTTGTCTACAGACACTTTGGCTGCTGATCCATTCACTGTGATACTCTACTCTCCCAACTTGATGCGGGAAGACCTACTTTCCTCCACTGCTGTGTGTTACCCATTTCCAGACAGGGCTGTTCCCTTATGTATTTATTCCATGCCACGTGAGCCTAACTCACTGTTATTGGCCTTGCCCTGATCCCTGCTCTGTGCCCCTGTTACCTAGAAGTCCCAAACACTATGTAGAATGAATGTGCCCTGTCCTGTCCCAGTGCTGTGCTCCTAGTATGGTGTTTGGTGTTCCAGCATATTGGCTGTATCCATTTTCATTCTATGGGAATGTTTCAAACTAGTATGTGATATTGACTGGAGATGGCATAGACTAGTGTTTTACTTTATAATCTCACTGTTTGCATTCAGAAATAGATGTCATATGATGTTGTTCCAGAAGCAAGTAACTGATGGGTTGGTATGTGAGGGGGATCCTAGTGGTCCTTTCGTCTGTGAGCCTTTTCTGCTGTTTTCCAACAAGGGAGGGGAGAATGTATAATTGTTTATCAGATGGAACAAATCTGACTAACTGGCCCTCATTAAAAACAATCTCCCAAAAGAGGATGAGTACTCATCATGATTATATAAACGCTCACACACTCTTACATGTGCGTGTATGTGCAATAAGACATCATTGGTAAAGCTGTTATTTTCATAGAGAATATTCATAAGGGATTTTGAGTACCTAATTCTCATAAAAAGTGTACTTTTAAGTTTCAACATAAAATTTGCTATTCCTAGTTTTCTAGATTTCTTTCCTGTGTACCTGGTTCAGGCTGAATGTAATGGAGACCGAACAAATGTACACTCACCATCTATCCTGCCACGTCTTTAAGGCAAAGAGGAACTCGGGCTCAAAATGGTACAACTCCAAGGAAGGTCCTCGTGAGTCCAGATCGTTGCTCGTTCTTTGTAGTAGCCAACTGCCGAATTCCACCTGCAAGACAGAGATCAATCTTTCGTTGCCCTCTAGATAAATGGTCTCTTGCCTTCTCTCCAACTGGTAGAGGGCACCTGAGAGAACACTCTCATGTACTGCCTAGAAGCTCTGACAGCATTTCAAGGCAGGGATGCAGCAAACCAAATTCAAGCAAACACAAACGGCCTAAAATGTGGGGATGTGCCAGATTTGGGGCTTTGGTTGAGTCTGAACTGGGGTTAGGGACCACTTTTGAAATGTATATCTGAAGGTCAGTAATTTAGGCTTGACTTGGTCAGGGAACCGGTGCATTTTCAGAGGTGGGGCCTCTGAGAACAGCCACATCATCTGTCTGCTTCACTCAGGAATCATGCAGGTTTGTAACAAGTACATTGTCAATCGAACACTTGTGCTACTGTGGAAATGTGTAGCTCCCTCAGGGTGGGAACACAGCTGTTCTTATGTACCAGCCCAGCATGGAAAGCAGAGTCTGCACATCCTGTCTCAGTATTCTAGTCAAAGGCCCTCTGGAAATCCAATAGCAGGGAAAAGAGGAATTTTTCCCTGGCATATCCGGGGATTTGTGGGGGGGGTGTTTCAGTCCATGTCTTAAGGGACTGCATTTCATGCCACAATAAAAAATCCCGGCAGCACAACTGGATCACCTCTCACTGGCAGTTTCTACAAAGAAATCAAGGAGTGGCTAGGTGGGAGAGAGAGCCCTTCTCGTGTGATGCCTTGGCCCTGGGGAGTTGTTGGTGTGCAAGCCCCGCTTGTGGTAGTACTGGGGAGAGCTGCAGCACAGTGGGGACATCAGATTTTTTACAACTATCTTGATGAACCCCTGGCAGGGAGGAATTCAGATGGGGCCTGCTTTGCTGGCACGTGTGTGGGTAAACAGCAGGTTGGGCTCCGGTTCTATTAGGTCAGCATCTTGCACCAGCCACCACATTAATTCCAAAGTCAGTGAGTCAAAGGACAGGACAGCCGAGGGGGAGGGCATGGGGGGAGCATGGAGCGAGATATGGCATTGCAGCCACTCAACCTTTCACCCAGCTGGACCTGTGCCTGTACTCTAGGGCAGCACTGCAGGAATCCCGCCCTCCCATCACTGCCCAGCCCTTCTGTGAAGGACTTTTACCCCTTCCATTCTAAAAGCCTTGCTGGATGATGGCAAGTTTATTCCGTCTGGAAGCTCCATGGCTATTCTTATAGCACATGGACATGCAGAAGAAACTACCGTCTCATATTCCCCAGCTGGGAGGAAGGAACTAGAAGCAGCTTTCAGACCCTAGGAATGTGGAAAGTTAAATTTATCACCTGTGAAATCAACTAGGCTTAGAACCACTGGCAGAGATGGGAGAGATGAGGGAAGGGGCATGATGTAGCTTGTCTCCGTGATCCTCAAAATGAGACAATCATCTGATGAATTATGGGCGAAAAGGGATGGGGTTTGGAGTCATAGGGTATGAAAGAACCCTGATTTTAGGGGGATGGGGGTTGAGGTAAGTTTCTAGCTCTCCTAGTTGCTGAGAAAAGCTTGGAGTTATGACTCTGAAAGGCCCCAGTGAAAGAAGGGAAATCAGTAGGCCCCAAAATGTGTTGTTTTAAAATTTTATGATGTTCAAGCCAGTCTTGGGCTTGGGGAGGGGTTTGGCTCATGATTTGGGAATTCTCCAGTCCTCTTGGCTGCAAACTCCTGTCTCAGCACAGCCTCTGGTTTACAGGCCTGAGTTCAGCTGGATAGGAGGCAGGGGGCTCTTCTGAGAAAAAAGCCACAGGCTGGCAAACCAGTATGGCCCCCTATAATGGCTGCCTAAGCTCTGTCCTGATGTCCCTACAGCCTTAGTCCTAAATCTTGGCTCCGACTGTTAATAAATGACTTGGTGATAGTAGGTAAATAAAGATGCCCAAGGGCTGGCCTTTGCAGCCTGGTAGCCTCCAGCTTAGCTGTCTCCTTGGCTCTGATTACAAGTTTGGCTCAGACAGGGAGTCTCCAAAGGCACTCTTGAGTGGAAATGCAAACAGGAGCTATGACCCTCAGACACAGCACTCTTATCTTGGGTGCAGGAACCAAGGGAGCCATTACCAGCCTCCTGGCTGAACTCCAGCTCTGTTCCCCCTCTGCAGCTGCAGCATTTCTCCCCTGTGTCCTGAGCTGTTCTACCCCAGAGGTGGCTGCATTGCGGGAGTGGGCTGAAAACGAAAAACAATCTGGGACCCTTCAGAAAGTCATACAGAAATGGCAGCGATTCTGCCCTTGCAGCATTGCTTGACAGAAGTGCCGAATTCCAGACTGCCCCCAGCAATTTGCTGATTCGGACCTGGCGCCTGGTTTTGTCTTTAGCGCCCAGGCCTGGGCTTTGAAAGCATTTTGCTTTCCCCATGAAGCTGTTTGCTCTCCAGCCCTGCAATTCACCTTTTATTCTTTTCTGGTCGGGAGAATGCAACGAAGCCAAACCTCCCGGCGCAGCAGGGAGGCTGGCACATCTGCCGGCTTTGGGATCGTTCATCAAACGTGTGGGGCGTGTTGCAGTCTGTTGTCAGCAGCTGGCTGCTCCTGGGCCAGCATCGCGACACCCTCATGAGAATGGGTCATTGGCACCTTTCACCCCAGGATACAGAAGTGCTTTCCTGTCCCGTGAGTCTATAATGTCCATGAGGGTGGAAGGGACCTCGGGGGCCCCATCTAGTCCAAGCCCCTGCTCCAAGCAGGACCAGCCCCAGCTACATCATCCCAGTCACAGCTCTGTTGTTAAAAACTCCAGGATGGAGACTCCACCACCTCTCTGGGCAGCCTGTCCCTGGGCTTCACGACCCTCCTCCAGAGAAAATTCTTCCTACTATCGAACCTCAACTTCCCTTGCTGCAACTTTGCTATGACCTTGGTAGGGTCGTCGTCTCCGAAGCGATTCTGGGAGGTTTCTAGAACGCTGACGGGCCGTCGACACACCACGCCAATGTGCTGTTGACCCATGACGTCAGCGTGCTCATGACATGACACCAACGTGCTGCGGACACATGTCAACGTGCCCATGACACATGACGTCAACGTGCCACTGACACATGATACCAACATGTCCATGACATGACGTCAACGTGCCCATGACACGACGCCGGGAGCGGGTGCCCGTGGGCGAGGCCGTACCTCAGCGATGCCGGGGTGTTGTTGCCTGCGCGACCCGTCCCGTCTGGGCGCGGCACTGCGCGGGTGGCGCTCCCCGCCGGGCGCTGCCGTCAGGCTGCGGGCGCCGCC